GATGGCGGGCTGGCCCCCTCGGGGGGGGGGGAGGGGCTATGAATCTGTCACTGTTCCTCCTCCACAACAACTGTCCCTTGTACCTGAGCTGCGTTCCTCTCACACCCGGCGCCACAAACATTTCTGGTGTCGCCATTGGATTGGACTTCTGCGGCCGCCTTCGTTTCTCTGCGTTTTCCCGATGTCGTCGTGTGCGTGTTGCCGCGGCGCTGACGGTATATACAGTATATATCACCGTCGGGTATACAGCTTTGTGTCCGCACACGCACCATCCGTGTTCAGGGCGATGGGAAGGCCGACGTGCGACAATGAGACTGTCACAGGTCGGCTCAGTAGATCGGGAAGTGAGGGAACACATGGAACATTCCCTCAGGCGTGGGCTCCATGGAACGTTCCCTCAGGCGTGGGCTCCATGGAACGTTCCCTCAGGCGTGGGCTCCATGGAACGTTCCCTCAGGCGTGGGCTCCATGGAACGTTCCCTCAGGCGTGGGCTCCATGGAACGTTCCCTCAGGCGTGGGCTCCATGCAACGTTCCCTCAGGCGTGGGCTCCATGGAACGTTCCCTCAGGCGTGGGCTCTATGTCTGGTGTCTCCACCCATGGCGGGGGTAATGGTTGTCAGGTGACTCCACCCATGGCGGGGGTAATGGTTGTCAGGTGACTCCACCCATGGCGGGGGGTAATGGTTGTCAGGTGACTCCACCCATGGCGGGGGTAATGGTTGTCAGGTGACTCCACCCATGGCGGGGGTAATGGTTGTCAGGTGACTCCACCCATGGCGGGGGTAATGGTTGTCAGGTGACTCCACCCATGGCGGGGGTAATGGTTGTCAGGTGACTCCACCCATGGCGGGGGTAATGGTTGTCAGGTGACTCCACCCATGGCGGGGGTAATGGTTGTCAGGTGACTCCACCCATGGCGGGGGTAATGGTTGTCAGGTGACTCCACCCATGGCGGGGGTAATGGTTGTCAGGTGACTCCACCCATGGCCGGGGGTAATGGTTGTCAGGTGACTCCACCCATGGCGGGGGTAATGGTTGTCAGGTGACTCCACCCATGGCGGGGGGTAATGGTTGTCAGGTGACTCCACCCATGGCGGGGGGTAATGGTTGTCAGGTGACTCCACCCATGGCGGGGGTAATGGTTGTCAGGTGACTCCACCCATGGCGGGGGTAATGGTTGTCAGGTGACTCCACCAATGGCGGGTGTAATGGTTGTCAGGTGACTCCACCCATGGCGGGGGTAATGGTTGTCACTATATCTTGTCATATCTGGGATTAGTGAGCTTTGGGAATTTGTCACATTATTCGGTGAGACTCTCGGACCTGATTCACTAAATTCTGCAGAAAAAGTGAACATTTGGATCTTCGTCTGAATCGGGTGTTCTATAAATGTTCTCTGAGCCCCCCCCCCAGGCTTAGAGGAAGCATCCGCCTCTCCCAGTATCATACTGGTCCTCCTCCTCCTCTGTGTCCAATGACTCATATCTGTCCGTCTTCCTCTTATCTTCGTCCTTCGCTGGCTGGAAGTAAAGTTGATGCATGCAAAGCCCGGAGCCGGATCCGCCGCCTTCCCCTGTATATATGTATGCAAAGCCCGGAGCCGGATCCGCCGCCTTCCCCTGTATATATGTATGCAAAGCCCGGAGCCGGATCCGCCGCCTTCCTCTGTATATACGGTATGTATGTAAAGCCCGGAGCCGGATCCGCCTTCTTCCTCTGTATATATGTATGCAAAGCCCGGAGCCGGATCCGCCGCCTTCCTCTGTATATACGGTATGTATGTAAAGCCCGGAGCCGGATCCGCCTTCTTCCTCTGTATATATGTATGCAAAGCCCGGAGCCGGATCCGCCGCCTTCCTCTGTATATACGGTATGTATGTAAAGCCCGGAGCCGGATCCGCCTTCTTCCTCTGTATATATGTATGCAAAGCCCGGAGCCGGATCCGCCGCCTTCCTCTGTATATACGGTATGTATGTAAAGCCCGGAGCCGGATCCGCCTTCTTCCTCTGTATATATGTATGCAAAGCCCGGAGCCGGATCCGCCGCCTTCCTCTGTATATACGGTATGTATGTAAAGCCCGGAGCCGGATCCGCCTTCTTCCTCTGTATATATGTATGCAAAGCCCGGAGCCGGATCCGCCGCCTTCCTCTGTATATACGGTATGTATGTAAAGCCCGGAGCCGGATCCGCCTTCTTCCTCTGTATATATGTATGCAAAGCCCGGAGCCGGATCCGCCGCCTTCCTCTGTATATACGGTATGTATGTAAAGCCCGGAGCCGGATCCGCCTTCTTCCTCTGTATATATGTATGCAAAGCCCGGAGCCGGATCCGCCGCCTTCCTCTGTATACATTGGGGGAAGTGTGCACAGGAAGCGCTCTGTGTATCCTGGAATTCCGATGAGACGGGTTCCATTGTCATTGTGTTTGATGATGTCCGTCATCGCTCTGCTCATACTCCAGATGAAGTCCCGGCCGTATCATAAACTGAGCGCTCCTCACTTCCTCTCCACCAAACATCAGCTTCCCCCAGCCTGTGATTGGACAGTGAGGGAGAAGCAGCAGACTGATGAGCTCACTTCTCCATCATCTCTCCTCCTATTAGCATGCTCCCTGTGCTGCACCTCCCTCCCCAGTCTGAGCTCAGCTGTACAGGCACATACTAGGGGCATTATGGAGTGCAGTCTGGTGCCCCGAGGTTTCATCATTTATTTCAGGTATTAATGGAGCGCCGACGATGTACGCAGCACTTTACATAGTTGCACATCAGTCCCTACCCTCAAGGAGCTTACAATCTAAGGTCCCTATCTCACCTGCATACATAGAGGGCCAATTAACCTTCCTGCGTGCCTCTGGAGTGCGGGAGGAAACCTACAAACTCCATGCAGATAGTGACCTGGGTGGGATTCGAACCGGGGATCCCTGACCAATCCCAGTTATGACAAGATATACCGACAACCATTAC